AAGAGTCCCAAGATGATTACCTTGGAAAATCAAGTATAAAGCCTGAAGAACCAGCAAGAACAACAAATTACTATCTTCCAAAAATAGCTCCAAACACAACTAATAGAAGGGGGAAACGATTGCAAAGCGTAGAGATTGAGTTTCTAGGCACGGGGACAAACTTTAACGGTAGAAATCGTTAAAAACGTACCTTAATCACTCAAGAATACCATGGAACCCTCTCTTCAGCTCCCTCACTGTTTTGGGATGAAAATGAAATGTTTTGGGGTCTTACAAGTCGGATTTTCCGATTATACCACTTGTTTGACCCGACTCGGTTCGTGACCCGGTTTCAGCCTGGAAAGTCCGGGGTAAAAACAGTCATAACGTTTTACTCCAATGTCCGTTTGATGTGAGATTTTTTTGGTTGCGAACTAGACTCGTAGACCTTCAATTTGATAGGTTGTGGGTCACATAACTCGTTATATATTGGGAGAAATGATCTGATACATTTGACGCAAAGTTTAGAAAAATTATTAGAGAAGTTTACGATAACCTTTGTCGACCTTTATTTCGCAACTTGCTTGACTCCAAAACTTAACATGTGACCCGTGTGATATTATAATACCTCATAATACACTATTCTTAGCATACTAGATACTCTTAGTCTTATCCCACAGGTGCAAGTTAACTTAAACCTTCCGAACGCGCGGGGTGCTACCCGAGCCATTTCTTTAACCACGAACCTTTGTTAAGGGATTCCTTTGACCTAAAGCTTTAGTTATTTCCTTGATATTACCACACATTTTCAGTCTTATTCTCCCAATGTGCTATACTCAATCGTATATACCTAATATAACCGGGCCACGTTACGTATATTACGTAAGAGAAGAGAAAAAAACACATGGAGTTTCACAAATAAAATAGCCATATTAACTCCAATGAATATGTTGCACCTTGAAAATCCTTGCTATCACATTAAATGCTTATACTTATAGCAAGATACATATGTGCGCAAATAGCACTTAGGATATGGTACTTCAGGACCAAGAATTGTATATGCTTTAAGCGATTTAAATTCTTCAAGGATTTTCATATAAGTCATATAATAGACTTTAATTAGATGCATATCAAGTTTTCATGTCATGCTAGACAAATAAGATATCGAAAACTGATTGCATATATCATTGGCTTTATACTTTCAAGTGTTTGAACTACATGTCCAAAACTACATGTCTTTCATATGAAACCAATTTTATTTGAATTGTGTCTCTTCTATTTGGCCAATATTTTTGTGTCTGTATTCGACAGACTTGAGGTCCTCACCTATACTTAGCGCTATCATATATGTAATCGATAAATATTTTATATCGGTTCCAAACACCTTTTTCCATAAAGACATGACATGGAGATTTCTTCATTCATATTTTCAGGTCATGAACCTCTCCTGAGATTTTATGAAGTATTATGTTATGTGATCTTCTAGATTACTTGCCTCCTTATTATGATCATTTTGATCATTTGCTCATTTTCTTTATCAAGAATTTTATTTGAAACCGATTTGTCTATATGCTTTAAGCGTACCATAGACTTAGTCCTTCTAGGACTTACTCTAATAGGAGCATTTGCAGTGAAAATATAGTTACTTTTTTTGGTCAGCAAATGCGTCTGGCATGCTTTACAATTGATATTGCGAATGAATTATCTTTTTATGAACTTTAAGTTCATATTGTTTGATTCGAGGATCTAGATGTACAAATGATAATTCATTCTACGTAACTTTTTCTCAACTATTTATCTTGTCTCCCCCTTATGTTAGAAAAACTAACTTGCTTCCTCAACTTTTGAGACTCACCCTTGTATGTTATGGTGTTAATAAAAATATACACTGCACATCAATAATAATAAGATGGAATTATTTGGTTCCTGACCCCGAACCACTTGTGAGGGGAGAATGTAAAATACTTTCATATATAACGTATATCAAACTGATATACATAACTTTGTTCTCATAAGCAATAGTTTAACTATTAAGCGGATGCACTCAATAATTATTTTGCTAAGCTAACTGTGATGTAAACTAACTTATCAAGATAAACTGTCTTGAATAGAAAATATGACAATTATGCTCGAAATTAAATTACTGAGCAAGTTACCTCGCAAATACCGACTAGGTTGCGGGTTAATAATAATCGCATATGTAACCATCTTATATATGCATCTTATGTGGTATACATGGCAGGTAAATGAGCCCATATTCACTTTTGATATTTCAAACATTCATGGGAGTCAATCTCAATTTTAGTTGGTCTATTAATTAATAAGAACAAGCAACATAAGAGAATTAATAAAGAACTTTCTAGCTCTTTAATATTTATCCATGTGAATTCTCTTTTATTTTTGCACATCATACTTAAATTAATATGGCTAAACCAGTTATACCAATTGAATAAATTATCAATATTGATAAACTTCAGGTTTACACCATAACGTGTGCAATTATGAATAAACTCCAAGTTTATTATGATATGGATTTTTATATCAATAAACTTCTACTTTATTGTGACATTCTTTTGTTTGTGTAGTACAAACTGGAGAATAAAGCGGATAGCTTTTCACATACATATTACCCCACTACAAGTTGTAGTAATAGAAGATATTAATTTTTTCCTTTCTTTATATTCTCAATATAATCAATGGCTTTCGTGAATACTTTAGAAACTAAATAAGTTTCTTTTGAGACTTACTAAAACATAATGCCTCGTTGATAATCAATTTTGTTCCTCCAAAATAGTAATAATTGGCTCTTCCAGAACTCTCAATTAATTTTTGTACTACCACATATTCATCAACATCCATATGGTGAGTATCTCTTTTAAAGGAAAAGTTGTACCATTATGGTTATCGTCAAAATTATATGCAAGATTTGTTTCTTGCATTACCGTTGTTTTTTAATAATCACATTGCCAAAATATTTTGGCGTACAATAACTATGTGACGAATGACCATTTATGCCATAATAATGATATTATTTTCTTATTTCCTCTCAAACCTCCTTCTAGAGGTGGGTGTGGTATATACCACTCGCACGCTCATATTCTTCCAAAAATAAATATGTATTTATAAATCACATGTTGTCACATTCACATCATGAATGGACCATAATCATCTATATGTACTTTACAAAATCTCATGTGAAATCGATGACAAATATTACTTTCACATAGTGAAGGATTATTTTGAGAATACTTATTGTTCTCATTACCATAATGATGATGATTATAATTTCGTCTATTGTCACGTCCACATCTATTGATACATTCATGGTAATAGTTTTGTCTTCTTTCAGACGTATCACATACTGCTATCACATTCTCTTAAGAGAATGAGAATGAAGCAAATTCAATGAGACGGGTTTTCACTTCTTGTGCTCTCAATCATACATGAATTTGATCATGACAAGACATAGAAATTTTACCACTTCACGTGATTCCAATTCCTTACAAACTCTATTAGAGTTATAATCAAAATTTATTATCTTTGCTTGTATTTAAAATCAAATTATAGAATTTTGAAGAGAAAAAAAGTAAAATACTTACCTTAAATCCAAAATTTAATCATAATGGAAGTTAATGGAACAATTGACAATCATTATGCTCAACCCCAAAGCTTCTACTCAATTGGTTAGGGTCTCGTGCCGATAACGTGTTATAAAATAATAAAAGAAGAAGAAGAGTATTGCAGAGAAAAGTAGAGAAAGAATTCTTATTGCTTTTGGGATGAATTAGAATGGAATAGAACCCTCTATTTATAGGGAAAGAGTGACTTAGCCACCAAAAAATAATTCCTAAAATCTCTCTAAAATATAGATATTCGCCATAAATAAAATACTATTTATGACAAAGAGTTTAAATTCCTGAAAATTTTCTAAGCCGTACTGGAATTAGCAATGCAATTTCATGAAGCATTAAGGCTAGTAGGGGTGTCAATGGTTCAGTTCGACCGGTTATTTTATAAAATTTGTACCATACTAATTTTTCGGTTATTCTATTATGTATAATCAAAATTACACTTTTCGAAACCGTCCCAATCATGTCGGTTCCATTTCGGTATCGGTACGGTTCGGTTAATTTTCAGTATTTTTTTAAATGTCATGTAAAATTCACTAGTAAAAGTAGAATGCAATAACATACATTCTTTTATAGGACTTAGCAAAACTCTCTAGACATTTTTACTGTTTAAAAGGTAATGAATTGAAAAACATGAAAGATGGCTAGAGTATAGATACACAACTATTTGACAGGAACGTAAAAGAAACCAAGTAAAAACAAAGAAAATATAAATAACATGATTGGAAAGATATTAACCAAGTTGGGACTCAAGAATAAAGTCAATATTAAATATTCAAAAAGATAAATCTAAATTATATGAAAGGAAACATATTCAATACATTGTAATTTGCTACTCATAATCGCTACAATACTTTGTGTCTTATTAATTAAGATATTTGAAATAACTTGGTTTAAGTATAAGTAGCATAATAAGTTTTAGGATTAGTATTTTAAGTTTAATTACTTATTGGCTTGTAACAGTTTTCATAATTTCAAGGCCCAATGAAAATTTAATGCTTTATTAGTTTTAAACTTACTATATAAATATATTTTCCACATGTAAAATTTATTCGGTACGGTTCGATATTTTTTCGGTTTATTTTTATAAAATAGAAAACCTACCATAATTATTGGTACGGTTATAGATTTATATAAAAACATACGGTTTCTTTAAAAGAAACTTAAAAATCGGTTTAGTGCGGTCAATTTAGTCAATTTAGTTGGTTTTCAAATATCCATTGACACCCCTAAACCCTAAAGGCTAGTACTTTTTTTTTTTAGTCCAGGACCCTACCCTTGTCACGTGTCATAAATATATTGGCTTCTCTGACAATACACTTCATCCTAGTCAGACAGAGACCCGATCCGACCCGACCCGATATCTAGTCCTGTCCCAAGTCTTCCGCTTACTACACTGAAACCCTTTTTTCCTGCATCCAACTCCTCCATTTTCTCACCTACAAATGGCGATCTCTACAACCCCAACATCCTTTTTCCTCATCGCCATCCTCGTACTCCTCGTACCCATCAACCACTCCTTTTCCTCCTCCTCCAACGGCGGCGACATTCACTCGGAGCTAACCGATCTCCGATCTCAATCTCCCACCGGCGTAATCCACCTTTCCGACCAACTCCTCCGGCGAATCCTCACCGTTAAAACCCCACGACCCTTCAATTTCGTCATATTCTTCGACGCTAAACAACTCCATTCAAAACCTGAACTCTCACTCCCCACTCTGAAAGATGAATTTAACCTTCTATCCTCCTCTTTTTACACAAATAACCCTGAAAACGTCAAGCTGTTTTTTTTCACTATCGAATTTCAAGAATCACAAACTTCATTCGCTTTATTCGGGGTTAATTCATTACCCCATTTACGTTTAATCCCACCTTCAGCTATTGATCTTAAAAAAGATTCGATTCAAATGGATGGTTCTGATTTAGCCAGGTTAGCTGAATCAATGGCTGAATTTGTTGAAGCTAAGGCAAAGATTAATGTGGGTCCCATTCACAGACCACCGATGATTTCGAAGAAACAGATTATGGGTATTGTTGCTCTAGGGCTGGTTTTAAGTCCGTTTTTGGTGAAAAAGATTGTTTCGGGTGATACCATTTTGCACGATAAGCACGTGTGGATGGCCGGGTCGATTTTCATCTACTTTTTCAGTGTTTCGGGTGCAATGTTTAATATAATTAGGAAAATGCCGATGTTTATGGTGGATAGAGAGGATCCGGGGAAGTTGGTTTACTTTTACCAAGGTTCAGGGATGCAGTTGGGAGCTGAAGGATTCGCGGTCGGGTTCTTGTACTCCATTGTCGGGTTGTTGTTGGCTTTTATGATTCATGTTCTTGTGAGGCTAAAGAGTAGGACTGTGCAGAGGGTGGTGATGCTTTTTGCATTGTTCGTTTCGTTTTGGGCTGTGAAGAAGGTGATTCATTTGGATAATTGGAAGACCGGATATGGTATTCATGCTTACTGGCCTTCGAGTTGGAATTGATCGTGCCAATGTGGTATGTCTTACTGACCGAGTCATTTGGCTGCTATCATTAGGTAAGAGATCTGTACCAGTTTATACAATATGTTGACAGAGAAGTTTTAGCTTGTTTCGAGATGGGTGGATTTTATGACTTGTATGGAAGCATTTCATGTTCTAATTGAAGTTTTGAAAATGGATTACGTACTATTTTGTACTTTGTAATCTATCTATCCATTTGCTTACTGCTTTGACATTTATTATGTTTTGAATTCCTTGCTTACTCTCACGATATTCTATGTGGTATGTGATGAGAAATTAGGGCCCTAGTGCTTTAGTTCAATGGCAAAGGTAGTATGGTACAGGATGTGTGGTAGGCAACTAGGCGCACATCACAAGCTCGAATCCTGCTGTACCCTAAGCCTTGTATTTAAGTGGAGAAGGGAAGAGGGGTGGATCCATATTGGCTAGTTTCAAAACTGAAACAACAGTTTGTTGGTTATAAGAAAAGATGAAGCATCTCTCCATTTCCTTTACTGCTCTGACATTTGTTATGTTTTGAATTCCTTGCTCTCAAAGCTAGATGTAGCAGTTTCTCGGTTATAAAAGATTTGAAAACTCAGGTAGTTGAGTATAGCAGTAACTAAAACTTTTATCTTAATTAGTTGAATGCTTGTGATATAAGTTACTCGGAAACGGGTGCCGATCTAGAGGTCAGATCCTTGGAGACGTAAATTCTAAGATTCGGGGACACGGAATCTAGTACGGATACGGGTATGGGCAGTGTTATAAATAGCGCTCGCCTCAGTTGCATTGCAATTGTAAAAGGCGAGCGCCTCTGCTTGTGTAGCGAAAGGCGAGCTGTGGCGTCGCTTTTTGAAAAAAAGAACGAAAAGGGCGCAGATTAGGGTTTAAAACATTAGGGCTTGCAGTGATTTCACGTTTCTTTCTTCTTCAACCTTCCAACAACAGAGCACCCAAGTCCACCCAGCCCAGGTAAGCTTCTCTTCTTCTTTCTCCTCTCTTTCTTTCTTCTTTTTCCTTCTTCTTCTCTTCTTCTTTCTATTTTTTTGCTCTGTTTTTTGCTGAGCAACAGTGCAGAACAGAGTCTGTCTGTTGCTCTGTTTTTTTTTTCGTTTTTCTTTCCTTCTGATCTTCTCTTCATCTTTCTAATTTTTTGCTCTGCTTGTTGTCGAGCAACAGTGCAGCAAAAAAGGACAGAGAGTCTTTTTATTCTCTGTTTTTTTTCCGTTCTTCTTCTTTCTTCTTCTGGTCTTCTCTTCTTCTTCTTTTTTTGTTGCTCTGTTTTTTATTGAGCAGCTGTACTGCACCCTGTTTTTGTAGAGGCAGAGGCAGAGAACTTCAAACCTGAAATTTCCTCCTTTTTCAGTTATAGAGTAGAATTAATTGCATATTGCGAATTGATATATTTATTAATATATCATTGTTATTGAGTTTTTAGTTATATATATAATATTTTATTTTTTTGTATAAATTGTCGCTTCACATAAAAAAGGCGAGCGCTTCGCTGTGCGCCTCTCGCCTCAGTGAAGCGGGCCCTCGTCGCTATTTGTCGCCACATGCTATCCAAAACATTGGGTATGAGGATCCGGCTAAAAATAATTCAAAAAAATAACAATATGAAAAATATCTCTAAATTAGGAGAAATTTATATACTAACGTATGGCTTGTAAAGTGTGGATTACTTTTTTATTCTCAAGTTGTAGATAAGTAAAGGATTAATTTCCTAGATACGATATGTTAGTTTCTTCAAATTTACCCTAGTTTTGGTTCTGATTTCGGGAAACAAATTGTATCTCGTCTCGAATTTTTACGTCCGTCATGGTCAAAGTACCCAAAATTGTTTGACTAAATCCCATACCAACACCCATACTAGTGTCGTATCGACACGGGTGCGGCACTTAAATTCGCACCCTTAAATTGCTCTGTCGGAGCAACTTTGCTTGTGATTACCACTTAATTGCATCATTTTAGTCTCTTCTATAAGCTTTCCAGCAAAAAACATTGCAAGATGAGGGTAGCTGTTATATCAACTATAGAGGTGTCAATCCTTGCATTTACATCTGTTTTCTGATCTTCCATGTAGTTTTAAATTGGCATTTAGTGTAATGATGCCTAAGAGGTTCACGAACATTCTCTTGATGAGATAGTTGGACTACAAACTTACTTTGACGATGATACGATGCTTTAGAAACGATGGGATGGCTATAAAACCTATATTCTCTCTTAACCTAGCCCAAAATTACCCTTGATACAGTTTGAAATTGGGTGGAGGCTATATTAGGTGACAATACTTCTCTAAACTGGGAGAAGATTGTAACATCCCTACCCTAGGTGATATTCTCCGCTTAGGCTCTAGGTCTGGACGACTTTAAAATGTCACTAAAGTCTAAAGCTTGTTTCTTTACCTAGTATCTCTTCTGTGCTTTGTCGATGTAAGATTTGCTTAGGATGTTAATATATCTTAGGGAGTCAGTGTCCTCGCTAGCGCNACTACATATCTAAATAATGTGGGATTTGTCTATCAATTGGGCGTTCTTTGCACACTGGTTATATTGTCCGCTTTGAGACATGTCTGCACAATTTTAAAACTTAGAGGTTGGATTCTTCATCCCATGAATTTTAGGATTTAGAGCTATGGATCTGACTGTGAATACGGGTGGTGGGATACGGCCAATAAATGTATATTATTGAACTAAAACTAAAAATATTGAATTCCTTATAAACATCTAATGCTTTATTCATAATATATCTCGCGTAATAGCAAAACATTAACATACTTTATGTAACTCTATATATGCTATATCAACCCAAAATCACAAATCAAATACCCAATAAATCATCACTTCTAGGTAGTAGATGTAGTCAAGGTAAGTTGGCCAAATTCAGTGTGGATCCCACAACCGCACCCACACCCATGTCGTATCGATACGGATGCGGCAAGGATTTTGAAAAGTCCGCGCAACATAGTTTAAAATGTGTCACTAGGGTCTAAGGCATGCTCTCTTATGCATCAGTGTCTTCCGTGTTTTGCTATCGTGGGATTTGCCTCTGATTTGACAAAGATACGTATCTATTACAGTATCTCAGCTGTCTGTAAGCTGCTAGTGAATTATACCAGCTAAATTGATATGGGAGTAAACCAAAGATTTGGTCTGCTTGAAACTGATGCTACTGTGGCTGGGGGTTTAGCGTGTTGCATATCAGAGTCACGACAGTTAATCGTTCTATACTTCTTGAGGGTGCACATGAGGGTGCAATTTTACTAGGATGATATCATTCTGCTTCAACTAGTGGGTATGAAGGTGGATAGGAGGACATTAGCTGGTTAGACCTATTCGCCTTTGGAGATCGGAGCTGATTGGTTACCTGAAAGTCATCTTTTTAATTTTGAAAGGAGGTATCATGTCTGGGAAAGGAAGGTAATAGCTGGAAAGGAAAAAAATATTGGTGCGTGCACACACCCATACATGTGCTCACATGCAGAGACTAAGGGAGTGGGGGAGGCAATGACTGGTTAGGATAGATTTTGGACTGTAATGGCAGGAACACTATATCCGTAATAGTACCACTTCTTGAATCCTGTCTGCTATGCTGATAAAGGAAATTGTTAATGATTTCATATGATAGTGGCAGAAATGTTAGCTAAGCTGCTAGTAGCTTCTTGATATTTCTTGTCACTTTGATGAAGACTGTGAAATTGACGACTTGGAAGAATGCAAGGGGAAAAGGATTGTAGAGCTGACCTGCAGCTTCACAGTATAGAAGTTCACTGAATGAATCTAGAACCAACAAAAGAAATTCCCCCTTCCGAACACTAGCGTAAGACTTTAAGGAAGTTAGAAAATGACCTAGGATCAAGTTTCTTCAGAAAGGACAGGATTAAGACTTGTAAAATAACCTAGAGAGTTAAAATATTTTAGCGTAAGCTGTGTAACGCGGACTATGAATCCAATTTGTGTCCAACAAAAGGAAAAAGATACTGTCAGTCATCTGCTTTTTGACATTCTGTGAAACTTAAAATTATATCAAACATAAAGAACACAATTTATAGTGAGTGATAATTTTCTTTTTGATAAGGTTAGTTAGTAATAATTCTCATGAAAATTGTATTTGTTAATAACTAGTATGTGAGTTCAACAGTTTGAAAGAGAAACAAAATTTAATGTGTGATTGAAGGAGTTTTAACAAACAAAGAAGTCTCTCAGGATTCATGCTAAAATTGTGGCTCGCTGTTGAGTTAGTTAAGTATTTCATGATTTTTCCTAACCATTTAGTTACTGTTACCGGTTGTCTCCGTGTGACCTATAGGTCATGGGTTCGAGCCGTGGAATCAGCCACTGGTGCTTGCATCAAAGTAGGCTGCCTACATAACATACCCTTAGGGTGCGGCCCTTCCTTGGACCCTGCGCAAACGCGAGATATTTCATGCACCGGGCTGTCCTTTTGCCTTTTCATTTAGTTACTGTTGCACAGAAGGGATAGAGAAGAAGGGACCTGTGTCACTTTTTTTTTTAAGTTTTCCTAACAGCCATTTATAGAGAGAAGGCTCAAAGCAACACACCTAATCTTTGTTATCTTGCTCTTGTTGTTATTGTTTTGAGTTTGAGAATTGAGTCTATGCTTCAGATTATGCCTTTTAGAGATAACTAGAAAATTTGAGGCAGAGAATTAGATGTTGGAAGTGTTTCAATCCTTGTATGGGCTTATAAGATTCTTCTTGTCAATTTCGAGTCCCATAGACTGAGTACACAAGTGCAGCAGAGGTAGATGACCTTTGCATTTTTGGCTGCTATTGATATTCTTTCTTGATACTCAGACATTATTATCATTCTTTGATGCTTAAAATTTTCAGTACATTGCTGAGACTTATCAAATGTTTTTCACCAACCAAACATCCAAAACATTTTCGAGGCAAGTGGTTTCCTCCTACAAAAAATGAGGAAGAAATAAATCGGTGGAAAAGCGTTTAACACTAGTACAATACTTTTGACCAATGTTTTAAAAGGCTTTTTTGGGTGAGTACTAAGGCGAGTTTTGGGCGGGGCATAGTAAAAAATGAATCGGGGCGATTTAGGGAGTAAAGTAATAGCCTGTTTGGCCAAGCTTCTAAAATCAGCTTATTTTTAGTATTTTTCTCAAAATTACTTTTCAAAAAGAGGTTTTAATGCGGTATACCCCTCTATAAGTCTCTTTCCTCACTATGCCTTAATTATGAAAGTTACATTGTATACCTATAAAGAAATTACTTGAGATTCACATCTCCCCTAATTAAACCATATTCCTATTTTCCATCGGAACCTCATTTTCGATATTGTATACTCTATACTTTCAAATCTTCACATATATTTTGAACATACCACAATATTCTAATTTGAAATACAATTCAAATCGTATATATTACAATATTCTAATGACAAATATGCTATCTAAATCAAGCATATCACAATATTCTAATTTAGAATATATTATTCAAACTAAATATACCATAATATTTTAATTTGTAATGCATTATTCAAATACTATAATATTCTAATTTGGAAACACAACACTCAAACTAAATATACCATAATATTCTAATTTGGAATACAATATTCAAACACAACATACTATAATATTCTAATTAGAAATATAATATTCAAACAATATTTTAATTTAGAATACAATATACAAACCAAATATTCTACATTTTTTTTTTTGAAAAAATCTGGTTTGAATACTGTACTCCAAGAATATTGTGGTATGTTTGATTGGAATATTGTATTCCAAATTAGAATATTGTGTTATGTTTGATTTGAATATTCCAAATTGGAATATCATCGTTGTTTGATTTGAATAATGTATTTTTCATTAGGATATTGTGGTATATTGGTTTGAATAACATATTCTAATATTTTATTTTAGTTTATATATTATATTCCAAATAAAAATATTGTCACGTTATTTTGTTTATCTTTTGATTACATAGATAGAAGAAAAAGATTATGGAGGACGTCATAAAGAAATTACTGGGGTGGTGGGATGATGGAGTGTTTTAAGAGATTTATTAAGTTGGAATGAGAGATAATTTAGTTCCTTAAAAGGTGGGATTTATTTAATGGCATATAATGATATTAAAAGTTTAAAAAATAATAAACTTTTATGAAATAGGTATACAAGATAAGTAAAATATTTCAAAGGTATAAGGAGTGAACTAGCATTTCCTGTGGGCACACCGTGTAGATTACTCTTTTAAAAAAAATATTTTTGTGAGAAGCAGTTTGTGTTTGGTTAATTAATTTAAAAAAGCACTTTTGAGCAGTAATTAGTGTTTGGCAAAACTTTTGAAAACTACTTCTAAGTCAACAAATTTTTATTGTGGGCCAAGTTTTTTTTTTCTCTTTGTCGTCTACCGGGTAAAAGGGAAAATGATAAATTTGCTATCTATAATAATAAATGATAAAAAAATGCATCATTAAAAGGGAAAATGATCAATTTGCTCTCTATAATAATAATAATAATAATATAAATGCATCATTTTCCATCGTTTGCTTTGGTTCGACGCGTCTGATCATAGGTTCCTTCTTTGCTTTTTTCTTTTCATCAATTTTTTTGCTCTTCATGTTAGTTTATAAATTTCTACTCTATCTTTTAAAAGTCTGATTAATTTTTTTTTCTTAAGATGAAGCAATTCTGATTAAATCTTAGTCAAGATTTTGATTAGCTTTTTAAGATGAAGAATTTCTGTATATTCCATTATTTTATATTTTCTTGAATTTTTAATAAATTATAATTTATATGTTATTTTACATTCTTTAAATATTTATTTTTATTATATTAATTTATAAAATATTAAAAGTTAAGATACGTGGGCTTAAGCATAATGTCTCAAGATTTACGCGTCCCCTATCAAATAAAACACTTTGCTTCGTGCCTTTTAAAACATTGCTTTTAACTTTCCCATGTTCAATTAGGTTCTTATTTATGTAATACACTTTGTTGAGACAAAAAATAATTTAAGACTGAAGACCATTTGTAAACAAAAATTAGCGTAGGCTTTAAGTTTCGGCAAGTCTATCACTGATGAGCATTTGAAGTATGATATTCGTAAGCATTTAAATTTTATGAGATCCAAGTCCATAAGAAATTTTTATTATATCCTAAATTTAAGACATATTAAATCAAATAAATATTATGAACTAGTATAATTGATTAAATAATTTAAATTCAATTAGAAATATTTAACTTTTTAGGGGAGAATTACACTCCTTATCACTTGGCTCAATAGCCCATCAAAAAATGGCCCACGTTTGAAGCCCTTACCCATTATGGCTCGGGTTGTATATAATATGAAAATTACTTTTCATCCATTAGCCCACTCCTTTTTTTTTTCTTTTCTCTGTTCTTCTTCTCCTCGTGTCCCAACTTTGCATTCCAAACTTTCTCCATCATTGTTATTCTCCATCAACGCTCCTCCAAATTCAAAGTCGATAATCACGATTTGGATGAAGAAGAAAAAATAATACATAAAAGAATTAATTTTTGGAGTCATATGAAGATCACTTCCTTCAATGGAGTGGAAAGAATTGTGTTTGCACTAAAGAGATTCACTTGGTAGGTTCTTAGATCGCCAAACTAGAAAGAAAGTATTGGCATGGTCTCAGTCTTATCCTTATTCCACGCGTAATTCTAATTCCAATGGTTGATTAAAAACTTGGAAAATAGAAGTCACCATTAAAGGTGTTTCAAAGCTTCGATTTCAGAAATTGCGTTTTTTGATTTGTTAGTTGTTTGGATTGGGTGTTGTTCCAATTGATTAGAATCATCAAAAGGAGTTCAAAACTTAAATTTGAAGTAGATTTATGCTAGATTTGAGTTAAATTTCAGAAGATCCCCAAGAAAAAAGATGAAGAACATGTGAAGTTCCATTGATAGGATTCATCTGTATAATAATGTATAAAATTGTATAAATAGTATATAATAGTGTATAAATAACTCTCATACACAATAATACATTATTTATATGTATTTGGTAAATTTCTCACATATTTTTCTTCTTCTACACCTATATACATAGGTATCACGAACACTTTTTACAGTACTTATACATCTTTATACACTTTTATACAACTATATACATAATGTACCTCTTTGTATAAAAGTGTATAGTGTCGTATAAAAGTGTATAAACATCTCTGACGAACTTCTTATACGATTTCACTTGCAATTCTTGTCCAAACTAGTCCAAAACTCCATCAAATGACTTCAAACTTTATATACAACTTACTTAGACTATTTCTAATAAGTTCAAACAATACCCACTCCAAATTTCTCACAAAATCATATTTAAAATTTAACAAGATTAACATTGAAGAAGAAGAGATTTTAGGTCTCTTGCGTCTGTTTTTGCATTTTTGTAGATGGGATAGGTATGTATAAACTTGAGGATAAAGAAGAATGGAAACTCAAGGATCTTTCGAGCCGGAAGATCTGGAGAAGTAAAAAAAAAAAGAAAAAAAAAATTCGGATATGAATTTATTGATATTTGGCTACACATTTGCAAACTTGTAACTGGGCTAAAATAATGCAATGTCACCTTATGAATTGATCTATTGTGTAATTCTTCCAAAATTTATTGGTCTAATCCATTTAGTTGTGCTTCTATCAAATGAGCTCATTCACGAGCTTCTTCTCCATCCTAAACCCAAGCTCATGCATATAAATAAAAAGCTCACACATTAACTATTGTGACTTATAGTATACTTTTTTATTATTAATAAATAAAAAAGATTGAGAGTGCCTTTTAAGACTTTGATACATAAGTAAGCGCACTCCACGATTCGTAGTGATTTGGACCATAAAGTACTTTTTGGAAGAAAAGAAATAACTCAACTCCATAGCTTTTGGCATAAAAATTAGGAACGATTTAGTTACACACTTAAATTGAAGTGAAAAAACTAGAAACTCGTTAGTTACGTAAATTACACCATAATTAAGTGAAACTAAAGATCCAAAATTAGGACATAAATCAAGTGGCTTTTATTTAATTAAAGAAAAGAAGCTTTTAGTAGTTGGTACTTATCGAAAACCACAATTTCAGTGCTACTGACGAAGCCAACGGTAACTTTATTCAAACAACTTAAAAAGCCTCCTTGACCATTGTGACCCCAAAATTCTCCATCTTTTCTCCCTGTTTCTTCTATCACAAATCCCCATCATTATAGTTGAAGAAAATGAGGTGCTTTAGATCTTGCTTCGGTAATTGCAAGCACAAGAAAATCATAAAGCCTTGTATTAGAAGTAACAAGATTAATAGCATTTCCCCTAAAACTCTTCAGGTTGGTATCCTATCCCCACTAATTATTTTGGTAATTGTCATAAGTTGTTGTTTATGCTTACTTAAGCCGAGGGTCTATCGGAAATAACCTCTCTACCTACACAAGTTAGGGCTTGGATTGTTGTTATTGTTCTTGTTGTTATCATAAGTTGTACTGTTCGCTTTAATTTGAGGTTATTGATTAACTTCATACTTCTTTTTTTTTCTTTTTTCTTTAAAGAATTTGCTCAAGACACACGAAAATGGTGAAGCATATGTAGCCATTATTAATGCTACAAAAAACGCAGCTCAACTCGAGGATGTTACAAACCCCATTACCCTCATTCAAGAATCCAAGTAAGATTTTTTTTCTGAAAACTTTACATATCATGTTTTAAAGCTAACAATAATGCTAAGGACAGATCTAGGATTTTAATTTGATAGATTCAATCTACTAAAAACTAAATCCATTTTTAAAATTATAGATTCAGTATCTAATATTTACTGAAGGGGAGCCTTAGTGTAACTGGTAAAGTTGCTGCCACGTGATCAGGAGGTCATGGGCTCTAGCCGTAGAAACAACATCTGGCAGGAATGCAAGGTAATTTTGCGTATAATAGACCCTTGGGGTCCGGCCCTTCTCCTGCCCCGCGCATAACAGAAGTATAATGCACCGGGCTGCCATATATATTTTATTTCCTGTAAAAAAAATTGTCACTCTTCATTCTCTAAAACAAACAGGAATAAGGAGGAAGAAGAGGAGGAGTTGAATAGAAGCAGCAGAAAGAAGGTTACATTTGATGATGTAAATATATCATCAATCGTCAATGAGAGGGGCTTAGCAAACGAAGAATCTGCAAATTGCTTAGCGAAGATCTGCAACAACGAAAAGGAAAAGGAAAAGGAAAAGGAGAAAGCGAATATAAAAGAAGAAGAAGGGAACACGTTTTCAGATTCAAGTGAGTCAAGCTATATATCTTATCCTCCAAGTCATAGATATCATTGCTGCAGAAATAGTGATGACGAGTTTGAAGCTATTGATTTAAACGATAGTAGTGATGTGGAAGATGACGACGCCAACAATTATAATGAATTAAATGACGATGAAGTTGAATTTTCTGAAAATGCAGCAATGATTCAACAAGAACAGTCCTCCGAGTCATCTTTATTTTCGCTCTCCATAGACTCTAGGAAAAGGAATCCCACACCCGAAATAGAAGAAAAGGAGGTCAATAGTCCATTGAAACTTAGTACACAATCCACCAATTTTAGTGCTACAAATCGGAGCCAATTATCAGTGTTGAATCCAATTCAAGAGAATGAGAATATCAACATTCTGAATCTCCCTAACTTTAGAACTAGTACTACTTATTGTTTACAACAAGAGCCTAGTTTGAAGCAGTCAACAAAACAAACAAAGCATCAGCTGGAGAATCAAATCACAGTTGATACTAGCCTTTCAAGCTGGTTAATTGAATCTCAAGACGACGACACACCAAATTCCAAAAACAATGTTGGTGATTTGGTTGGCAATTATTCATCTTCAGAGAGGACCAAGTCTCTGATACGAGTTGAAGATAGACCAATTTTAGGAGAGTTGACAGTAGCTGAACTCAAACATATAGCTAACTCATATTCTCCCAGAGGAACACAGAGTCATAGTCCAGATGAAAACTCCATTATAATAGGGACTGTGGGGAGTTATTTGAAACATACAGGGCAGGCTACCGATCCAGATTCTGCTTCATCTCGCAAAGGCATTTCATCGAACAAGACATATGCGCTCCTAAGAAAGGTACATGGTGTTCTCATTTCCTACAATTTTTTACTTTGCTTTAACTTTCAACTCGCTTCTCTTCTTTATATTGTTGACATAGTTTGATTCAGTTTGAAGTTTTAAGAAAGAAAAGAAACTTTTAAAACTGCAATAACATTTGTGTGGCTATAAGACTTTTGAAATTTAACTTCTTAGAGTTTGACTTGTGATTTGCAGGATAAAAACAACAACAACCATTCTACACCATTTCAGGCCAGGTTAGAGAGAGCACTAGATAGTGGTTTGGCTCAAGCTTAATTATTCTTTCCTTGAGTCGAAAGTAGTCTTTCTATCTTCACAAGGTAGAGATAAAGTATGTGTATACATTACTTTCCTCAGACCCTACTCTTGAGATTACACTGGATATATTGTTAAAAAGAATCAGTAAGCACAATGTCTCATCGATCGACAGAAAAAGTTGTGCCCCTCTTGTGTAATTATAGCATGAATTGGTCTCATCAATCCACAGAAAAAGTTGTGCCCCTTTTGTGTAATTATAGTATGAATTGCAAGCAGCTTTATATTCTTCCAAATTTGTCGTGCGACTTAAATGTGTCTGTATGTATTCATGAATTACTTGGAGCCCTGATTTAATTTTTTGAAATAGCATTTTGTCAATAGAAATAATATTTTGAAACTATTGTCCGATAAAATACTTGGCTACGCAAAGGTAGAACACTATGGAAACTTTCATCAACCTTGATTTTGCTATGCTAAATAAGAACCTGGAATAGCGGAAATAGGTTCGTATTCTCCTTCAAAAGTCAGTCGTCTTTGCCCAAGTGTCAACTGCAAACAACTCTCCAGTGGTTCCGTTCCTTCTTACTGTACTTCTAGGTTAACCCAACCCGAATGGGAATAAAAGGATCACCCAAACTGCGGTCCACATTGTACGTTTGCTGAGTAGACAACTCAGGTATTTTAGAAAAGGGTAAAGGAACTTCTCACCGCGAGGGAGGCGGGAAGTGGTAGCTTCTAGAATGGAAGCTTCTCCTTTTACATATGCAATGTTTGCATAGTTATCTGACTACACTCTTAGGACAACGATACATTTAACATTGCATCGAAATATACAGCTAAATTTAATAAAAACAAATTAAATTAGCTATAGAAAGACTTTTTGGATTTTGGAAATAGTCTTAAGTCTTGACTTTGATACATCTATACCTAATTTGATTCGTTAATAATGTAGCATCGGAGTCTGTTTTAGTTACTAGTCCTGTTTTCTAATATAAACTTTTGAGAAGTTTTATTCAATCAATCAGAGGCGAATTCAGTATTCTAACTCCATGGATTCATCCTTTAGGGTCTTCGCATTGAACATATTGTATTTTTTAAAATTATGTATTCGTATTTACTATTTCTTATAATTTTAGTAAATTTTTCAATATAAATTTATAGTCTGCATCGGAAGTATTTTCAGATGAACCCGATACTCCTATGCTACATCCAACCCTACAACCAGATGGCATTAGAGTAGACTTTCTCAATATCTCCTAATCATTGAAGTTTATTGATTGCAATTGTTCTTCAAATGAAAGGAAAACAACTTTGAGGATGACAATCATTATAATTAAATTAATAATTTCCTTAAAGGTCAAAACAATAGTTGCTTAAATCATATCAATCTCAGAACGATAAGTCCACGTATTGAAAGTTGATAAGAAAAAAATTGTATCTAAGTTATATATATACTTTTAGTGTTATAAGACCTTCTATGGTTTACGAAAACCGTACAAACTTTTCCTAACGTGGACAAACAATGTTATTATTGTCTTTGAATTGACTTAGCCTATCTTCATAAATTGTCGTGCCACTGAAATGTGTATGAACGTTTAAGCGATTTGATAGTGTAAAAAATTTATGAATTATTTGGAGGCCCAATTTAAATTTTTGAAATAGCGCTTTGGCAATAAAAATAATATTTTAAAACTATTGTCGGATAAAATACTGGATTAATATGCAATGTTGACATACTTATCTAACCGTACACTTAGGATAATGAAACATTGCATCGAGATATACAGCTAAATTCAATAATAAAAAAGTTAAATTAGCTATACAAAGACTTTTTGGATTTGGAATTAGTCTTCAGTCTTGACTTTGATACATCTATACCTAATTTGATTCGTTAATAATGTAGCATTGGAGTCTGTTTTAGATTACTAATCTTGTTTTCTAATATAAACTTTTGAGAAGTTTTATTCAACCTATCAGAGGTGAATTTAGTATTTTAACTCTATGGATTCATCTTTTAGGTTCTTAACATTGACCACATATTATTTTTTAAAATTATGGGTTCATATTTATTATTTCTTATAATTAGTAAATTTAATATATAAATTTATAAGGCAAAATACATAAAATACCACCTGACCTTGTCCCCAAATCCCTGTTACACACCTGTTGATTACGAGAATAAATTTACACACCCAATCTTTAAAAAATGTATCTATGACACACTATTTTGACTACGTGGCAAGCGCGTATTTTACACACAAATGAGGCACGTGAACTTTAAATTCTCATTTGGACGCCACATGTCCAGTTTTTTCACTTTTTCATTTTTAGTCATCTTCTTCATTTTTATGAATCAAGTTTCAGCAGTTTCTCCGTTGATGCTTATAAAGAACACTTCTAATAACTTCAACAGCTCCTCCTCTAACTCATGAACCAGAATCTCATCTCAAATCCATTATAAAGCATTTTTTCTCAAATATTGCCCTTCAACCTTGCTTCAACCCCAGCCC